AGGTGGGTTGATGAAGGCTTTTCTGAGGAGCTGGACTTTGAGTGGCCTTGGAAAAGGGAGGGCAGGTCAGCCGTTGGACCCGGGGTGGGGGGTAGGACAGGACAAGAGGTCGGGAAGCGTGGCTTCAGAAGCCATGGAAAGGATATAGGGTTTTGTTTTCCAGTGATGGGCGAGTCCGAGCCAGGGAGTGTGTGAAGTCCTGTAGTGTTGCCTGGTCTAAGAGTTGGGAAACTGAGCTTAGGTTATTTTATCTGCATAGTTGCCCTAGGAGATAGTCAAGGTACCCGTTATCCCTGCTTTGCAGGGGAGGACTCTGAAGGGCAGGGCTGGCTGGGTTTGATACTTATCTAAGGAGTCAAGTGGGATGAACAGTCTGTTTACTGTGGGCAACTCCCAATAACCAGTTCCTTAGAATTTCACAAGCAAGTCACTGATGGGTAGATTTCAAGGGCAAATGCTCTCTTGCTCTCTCTGGGGGACTTCTCAGCTGGCCTGAAACTCCATGTTCAGAAGCCATCGAGCAGGGCAGCCTGGGAGGTTGAGTTGAGAGGTTTCTTGGGGCAAACCTAAACCGATGACCTGCTGTGTGAATCTGGAACAGTCGCTGTCCCTCTCTGATGCTCAGAATCTCCATTTTGTAAGATGAGGGGCTGGCTCGTGAGCTATGGTCTGTCCTTTGTAGACTCTGGACCTATTGTTATATTGGCTACATGTTGAAATACTATTTTGGAGAGATTAGGTTAAATAAAACATTACCATTAATTTCACCTGTTCGTTTTCATTCTTTTTAATGTGATTGCTAGAAAATTATGTATGTGGCTGTGGCTTGCATTATATTTTTATTGGACAGTGCTGCTCTGGAAAGTTAAATGCCTTCAATATCTGATTAAATTAATTCACAATTAAAATTGCAACTCCCCTAAACCTGAGATCCCTATCTCCCCTGTGGGGCTCTTATAGTACTTATCACCTCAAATATTGTATAGTTTACATATCAGTTACGTTTATTGCTTGCTGTATATTCCTTCTGGTAGAACATAAGCTCCAATAGGACAAAGTTTTGTTTTTTTTGTTCTGTGATGTAGCCCCAAGTACTTAGAACAGTGCCAGGCATATAGTAGGTACTCAATAAATAGTGAATGAATGAATGAATGAATGAATGTAAGTATAGGATAGGAAGTGTCGGGGTTCCATGGTTGCCAAATCTTTCAATTTCTTAATTTTTAAAAAAAGATTTTATAGGGGAATTGGGGAAGGGGAACAGACAAGTTGCTGTCCTTTGGTTCTTCTGTCTAGTTGTGGAGGATGTCACTTCACTGGCCTATGTTGGTATTGTGACCATTGCGCTCTTCCAGGCTGAGGCAGGTTGATCACCAGCCATTGGCCGGCCGCTCATGGTGGCTCACACTGGCTGCGGCCACTCATGGTAGTTTATGGCAGCCCACTGCAGCCCCACTGCAGCCTACGCCGTTGCCAGCGTCTCACGGCAGCTCAGTTTCAGGTCGAAGCTGTTGTTCACTATCTTAGCTGTAGAGGGCGCAGTGTCACTGACCCATGTGGGATCTGAACCCGGGCTCTGCAGCTCAGAGCTCGCGCTCCCAAGCCAACTCTTAATCAACGAGCTACTCGGCTGGCCCCCCAATTTTTCTAGAGACCCTCCAAATACAGATTTTCACATGTAAATTTCAGCCTTTAACATATTGTAACTAATTTAAATTTTAAAGCATTGTGTGGGCAGAAGAAAACATTCCTGCAGCAGCCTGGTTGGCCTGTCTGCACCCCCTCTGGTCTAGATGATTCTGGAGGGTGATACGCTCACTAGGCCAGATGGGGAGTGGCCTGATAGGAAGTGGGGAGGGGAGTACTGAGCAGGGTCCCTCAAATCTGCCTGTCCCAGAAAACTTGCCCCCTCTGAGTCAACATGCATCTCTGGGTCTAGTGTGGGGGGTAATTAACGGACGACCCCCATCTCCTGCAGCCCCTCACCTGTTGTATGTCCGAAGCCTGTAGCTTCAGGGGCCACAACATGGGTGAGGACCAAGGGAGGTCCTTCCCTGTGGCCAACACAGCCCCATCCCCTCAGTCAGGCCAACATTTGACCTCTCTGTCCCTTGGTTCCCCCACAACAGGTAGAACTTTTGCTCTAATAGTTGAAGACAGATAGCTCAGGGCAGTGGGCTGTTGCAGGGAGGGCTGAGGCCATATTGGAGAGGGCTTCAGGCTTGTGGCAGAGACCTGGATGGTCCCATGGTCTCTCTGTATGACCTTGAGTGAGTCCCTTTTCCTTTCCCCCCCTCAGTTTCCTCTTCTGTATGATGAAGGCTTTGGACCAGCTCTGCGTTTTCAAACCCATCAGCTGGGGAACTGGGTCTCCCTGCAGACTCACTGAATTAGCCCTGGGGGCCAGGTCTTCTCATTAGGGTTTCTCCTGGTCTCCTTTATTTCCCTGCATTACTTTTCTCTTTAACGCCTACAATCATCTGGTTCAGTTGATATTTAACACTGACCTTGCTTATTGTCTGTTTCTCCTCCCCTGCTGCTACACAAGCCCCATGAGAACAGGGATTTTCAAAATATCAGCTTTGGGCCAGCTGAGCGGCTTAGTTGGTTAAGAGTGTGATATCTGAGCAACAGGGTCGCGTTCGATTCCCACATGGGTCAGTAAGCTGCGCCAGAGCTGAGCTGCCAACAGGTGGCAGGATGGCTCAGCTGGTGAGACCACATGCTCCTAACAACAAGGTTGCCGGTTCGACTCCCACATGGGATGGTGAGATGCAGACCCCCTCCCCTCCCCCCCGCAACTAAAATTGAACATGGCATCTTGAGCTGAGCAGCCAGGAGCTGCCAACGGGGCGGCTGGATGGCGACTTGACTTGGAGCTGAGCTAGCTGTGCCCTCCACAACTAAGACTGAAGGATAACAACTTGGCTGTTCTCCTTCCCCAATTCCCCAATAAGATCTTTGAAAAAAAATATCAGCTTTATTAAGGAATAATTTACAGAAAACACAATTTATACATTTTAAGTGTACACTTCAATGAATTTTGACAACTGTGTACAAGTCTTGTGACCACCACAATAATCCAGATCTAGAACAGTTCCATCACCCCGAAAAGTCCCCTCATGACCATTGCTAGGTAATCCCCTCTCTCCACCTCCAGCCCCTGCCCACCACTGACTGATCTGCTTGTGCCATTCTAGTTTGGTCTCTTCTGGAATGCCATAGAAATGGAATCATTACAGTATGTGGTCTTTTGCGGTCTGGCTTTTATTCACAAAGCTAATACTTCTGAGGTTCCTCCAAGATGGTGCCTATATCAATAGTTTGTTTGTTTTTATTGTTGAGTAGTATTCCATTGTACGGGTACATTGCAAACTGTTTATGCATTCTCCCATTGATGGACATTTTGATTATTTCCTGTTTTGGGCTCTTATAAATAAAGCTGCTATGAACATTTGTGTGTAAGTCTTTGTGTATGCATGTGCTTTCATTTCTCTTGGGTAAATACCTTGGGATGGGAGAGTTGCCTGGTAAATGTATGTTGAGATTGATAAGAAACTGAGGGCACAAACCCTTTCAGTAATTTTGGTTGAACACATGATGCCCTTGCACCTGCGTTTTTAATAAACTCCCCAGGTACAGCCAGGTGTCTCTGTGCTGAAGATCTGGACTCTGGGATCCTTCAGCTCTGATGGGCCACTTTCCTTCTGCTTCCCATCTGTGGAGTCCAGGGATTTTATACCCAAATCTCAGTCCCTGAGGGACCTGGTATGGAGATTCTGATAGGTTGATTCCACCTCAGAGGAACCCAGGTTTTGTTTAGGAGTGGGTCAGCCCACATCACCTCCATTAGCTTAGCGTTATGAGGGTTGATAATTTTTATGGTAAATATACTATTGCAACCTTGCCGTCCTATGTCCTGCATTTTCTGACTTTTTATGAGCCTGGGGTGTTCTTCCTGTCCTTCTGGTGATGATGCAAGATGAAGTGTTCATTTGTTCACTCTTTGCTTCATTCATTCACTCATTTATTGAGTCTTTTCTGTGCTAGGCTAAAGAAACATTTGTGAAAAAGAGAAAATCTCTGCTTTCAGGGAACTTTCAAGGTGAAGAAAGACAACCTGTGTAGAAACAAATAAATAAGATAGTATCAGATAACATTAAGTTCTGTGAAGAAAATACAACAAGGGTGACAGATGAGGGGAACTTTAGATAGGGTAGCAGGGAAATCCTCCTGGAGGTGGAACATTTGAAGCAAGAAGAAGTCCATTTTATGACTCCAGAGCTGCTTGGTAGCCATTAGCCACATAAGTCTATTGAGCACTTGAAATGTGGCTAGTTTGAATTGAGATGTGCTGTCAGTGTAAACCCTCTAAACTATCTCATCAATATATTTTTTCATGTTGGCTACAGGTTGAGATGATAATATTCAGGATATGTTGGATTAAATAAAATATATTATTAATTTCACTTTTTTCCTTTTCTAAAAAAATGTACCCACTCAGTAAATTTAAAATCGTGTGGCTTGCATTATATTCTACTGGACAGCAGAGGTCTAGGGGAAAAGCATCCTAAGTAGAGAGAATGGCAAATGAGGCAGGAAGTGAAGGATGCTGGGGCAGAGTGGGCCAGGGAAAGAGTGGCAGAAATAGGAATGGGCCAAATCCAGTAGGATCTTGGTGTCAGCTTTGTAAAGAGATGGGTTTTAAGTATAACGGGGAGGCCGTTTTAAGTTCGGAAGTGACATGGTCCGAATTATGTTTTAACAGGCTCCTGTGGCTGCTAAGTGGAGAACTGACTGGGGGTGGGCTAGACGGAAGGCAGGGCGATGTACAAGGAAGAATACTGGAGGCTCCTATACTGTCAGCCAGATTCATTTGTGGCACTGCCCTCCGCTGCAGGAGCGGCCGCCAGCGCCAGGGGGCGCTTCCTCGATGACTCGGCGCTCGGCTGGCCAGGCGCCGGCGCATCCCCCGCTCGATTGGTCGGGTCGGGGCGGGCCGGAGCGCCGCTGGAAGCGCCATTGAGGAGCGGCGGAGAGGAAGCACCGCGCAGTACCCGGCTAGGGCGGGCGGCCCGAGACACCGACAGGTACGGGCTCAGACAGGGCGGTGCCGGGCGGCGGGCAGGCCGGGGGACCGCATGGCGGGCATGGGTCGGCCGTCGGCCGCTCGGGCTCCGCTTCAGACCTGGGGGTTGGGGCCCGCCCGCGGGGAGCGCGGCGCTCGGAGCCCTGGACGCCGGTGTCCGGCCCTCGGGCCGTCTGAACTCCTCCGGGGAGCCCTGGGTCGTCCGAGCCTCCGATGGCCCCGAGCCTGCCGCCTTCACGGGGACCCCTGTATCCAAGCCCCCGAGGGCACCCCAGCCACAGATTCGGGCTGCCTGACCTGGCGTCCGTGTCCCCGGGAGTCCGATCCCCCCGCCAGATCCGGCACTCGTTCCAGGGTCCCGGCAGCATGGCACCCTGGGGTCGGGGTGGGGTGTCAGCCCACGTCTTCCCTCCTCACCCCCGGCCTCAATGTGGGACCCCAGTGTGCGAGCCCTCCAACCTCACGCCCAAGATGCCTGTCAATTCTCCAGGGTGTCTTAACCTCCCCCTTTATCTAGCTTTTTGAGGTCATGCTCCGCGATGGCACATCAGGCCTCAAACCTGTTTTTACCCCTCGCTTCCCGGGGTCATGCCTTGGTTGAGCCCCTCCTCTTAGGTATGGGACCCCCGGCGCCGTTCCCTCCAGGCTTTACCTGGGAGGTGGGGGGGTCTCCGTCCCCTGGGGCGGAGCTTAGGGTTCTGAGAGCAGAGGGGGCTGCCGGAGGGTGGTAGGAGCCTCGCCTTTGGGGCATTCTCGTTCCCGTGGGACCCCAGGCCAGGCACCCGCCCGCCTCCAGCCCCCTATCTTCAAGCTTCCTTTGCGCGGGCAGTGCTAATCCCTTGGAGCTTCTGGGAGGGGCGCCGGGTCCAGTTGCCCGTCCTTCGTACTCCAGGCTCTGGCCGCCCCTTGAGGGAGGGGCCTGGCTCAAGGTCATGGCCGGCTTTCTGTCTGCCCGTGGGCTGAGCACTGATCCCCGGTGTCACCTGCCTCACCGATTAGGGGAGGCCAGCTTGGGGTTAGTGCTAGGCAGCTGTCTAGAAACCCTGATGAACCAGAGTGTAAACACTTTGGGATTCTGGCCAGTCTGGCGGCCCTTCCGGACACCGGGTCCCTTAAGGGAAAACGTGAAGCGGCCTCAAGCCTGGTCTAGATGCTCAGCAGAGCTAATGCTTTCTGGCTTGGGTCTCAGTTTACTGACCAGCACGTTTTACATGCTTCTCCCCCGCATTTTCTTTTAATCTGTGCTTTTCGTTCTCCCACCGTCAGGGTGAGTAGCTCAGGGCCTGATCTTGTGCTGGGAGAGCTATTGGTAGTTGGTACTTCAGAGTTTGTTGGCATTTAGGGCCGAAATCAATGGCAGTAACTTCAAAAATAAAGAGTACTCTGACTTTGGCGCTTTGCCTAAGTGTATTTGGAGTCTGCATTGTAAGACTAGATCAGTCAGGTTCACATTTTGTTTTCACAGATTTACTTGTTTAAAGTTAAAATAAAGAAATGTTTCTTTTATTCAGGCTTTAAGCATTTCTTATTTTTAAAAATTTGTTCTTGTAATCTCTTTAAATAAATGTATTCAATAATCTTTAGCAGATTCCTGGTTTTACACAAAATGTAGCTTTAAAAAAAATCTTTGGAAAGAAATTAGTGTTTAACTAAATGCTGTTTTACTTACTTATTTTTGCTGTCATTGTTGACAAATAAAAGTTAATCGTGTCTGGAAGTGCAAGACACTGTTGACAAATAGCCTTCCTTGGAGGTTGAGTTAATTCTTACAGGGCCTTGTGTTTTGGGTCTTTGTTGGGTGTGGCAGCCTTTCAGTTGGGATAAGTGTATCTTCTGGCACTAAGATGAATCATTGGAGGAGGGGCAGAGGGCTTGGGAAGGATCTTGAAAGGGCTGGTTCCAAGTGGGACGCCTGCTGTAGCCAATCTGGAGTGTCCAGCATGGTGGGCTGGTGTCTGAGTGCCTGGCTCAGAGCAAGATGTGGAGCTCACGGTTCTAACTGGGACCTACTAGCTGAAGGATCTCGGGACCCACTTCAACTTTTGTGTCTCAAGCTCCCTCATGTTAGTTTTTTGTAATACTAAAAGTAATCGGTATATTTTTTTGTCATACTGACAGACACCGGTTCTTGCAATAGGCAGTAGTAATTAAGTACTGAATTTCCATTAAGTACTTAATACTGTAGCTGGAACCAGAGAATTTCTGGTGTTTGTGATTACTGACTAAACTGTTCATTGTATCAGCAGCATCTGGTGCCCAGGTATCAGTAGTACAGCTCCAGGACAGTTAAGAACAGTGATAAACCACTGCCTGCTCCCTTCCATTTATATTATTTTACAAATGATTTCGATGAACAAACTTGCAAAATTGAATGAAGGAAGGCTTAAAGAGGGTCATTGCAGAATATGAAGTTCATTGATACAATCTCTTAGGGCATTTTTGCCTTAACCTAGGACAGGGCTGCTTAGCCTTGGCACTCACTGTTGAAAGACTGACTGGGCTAGATAATTCTTTGCTGTGGGGAGCTATTGTGTGCATTGTAGGATGTTTAGCAGCCTCTAGAATCTCTACCCACAAGATACCAGTAGCAACTTCCCAGTCATGATAATCTGTCTCTAGACATAGCCAAATGACACCTGGATGAGAACCAATTAGGACAGTCTAGTCCCAAGGTGAGTCACTAAAGGAAGCAGCTTAATGATCAGTTACATTGAAAAGTTCAGCGACTTTGAGTTGTCCGTAACGTTTGGTGAATTTATGTGACCATTTTTTGCGGCCTTATTAAAATGTAGATGCATTGGTTTGGTCCTCCATTTACTATTAGGGCACCTTACAGTGCTTCTCGCCCCATCTTTTCTTTTCTTTTTTTTATTAAAGATTTTATTGGGGAATTGGGGGAAGGGAACAGTGTTGGGGAATCAGGGAAGGGGAACAGACAGGTTGCTGTCCTTTTGTTCTTCAGTCTAGTTGTGGAGGATGTCGCTTCACTGGCCCACGTTGATATTATCATTGCGCTCTTCCCGCCTGAGGCAGTCGCTCGCCGGCCATTGGATGGCCACTCAAGGCAGCTCACGAAAGCGCACGTCCCACTGACGGCCAGCCCCACTGTAGCCCACGCCGTTGCTGGCTACTCACGGCAGCCCAGCTCCAGGTTGAGCTGTTGTTCACCATCTTAGCTGTAGAGGGCGCAGCGTCACTGGCCCTCATGTGGGATCCGAACCGGGGTCCCACTGCTCAGAGCTGGCGTCCCAAGCCGACTCCTAACCAATGCGCCACTCGGCCGGCCCTCGCCCCATCTTTTCTTAAATCTCTGCTTTTTGTTCATCTACCTTGAGGGAAGGTGGAATAGGAAATCAGCTGGTTTTTCTGTTGATTTCCCTTTTTTTCTTTCTTTCATAGATTCTTCTGTGACCATGCGAGAGAGAAATAAAGAATGATCCATGTTTTTTAAACACCTTGTCTTGAGGATATAGTCATGTTGGAAGGGCTCGTAGCCTGGGTTCTCAATACCTATCTGGGGAAGTACGTCAATAATCTGAACACTGACCAGCTCTCCGTTGCGCTTCTGAAAGGTGAGTACGTGTATCTCTTCTTGGTACACTATGCCTTTGCAGATGGCGTTTCTATTTTTTATATTCTTTTGCTGTATTGAGAATAATAAAACATTTACCCAGATGGCTTTGCACTAAATATGTGTAAAAGGAAATACGTTCTCCCATATGATGCCAGTTCTTACAGGGTAACTTAAGTATGCAGCTGTAGTGCTATAGATTTTAGGGAACTATTAAATATTTTTAAAAAAGACGATGCTGCTGGTGCCTGTGCTTTACCTTAATTAATTTTTTAGCTTTATGAAGCAGTCGTGAAGGAGTGACAGTGGCATTGGCTTTGACTTCAGCTCCTGTTGTGTTACTCATTAGCTACGCAAACAAGTCATTGAAATTTGGAGCCTCGGTGTCTTTAGAAAAAGAGAGCACTGTACCTCTCCAGGGTTGCAGTAAGGATTAGATGGAGTGACATTTGAAGCTCTTCTCCTGTTGGCATGTCCAGTAGACGTTTTGAAGTATGTTATTGTGAAATCTTGGACAGAATTTTTCAGATCTTGTCTTGCTTACTAGTAAAGGACCGGACGCTTGAGGCATTTCAGCCTCTGTAGGCTGATACTTGGTAAATGCAGTCCAGTGATTTGGTGTGGAGATCGGAAAACTGCTTTTTTCTCCTTCTACGTGTTTTAATTTAAGTTATTTTTGCCCAACTCCAAATGGAACGCTTTAGCAATTCTAGAGAAAGGAGATAAAGTCAATCTGCAAACATGTAGAGTCACAGAAAGTGGAAGGGAGACCTCCAGTACGGTAGAAGCCTCAGCTTCCTGGAGCATGAGTTTCGGCAAGTGGACCAGGATGGGTTAGTGGAGATAGCAGTGATACAGCTAGCAGTAGTCTAAGACTAGGGTGCCAGTGGTTCTACTGTCCCCCCAAGTGTGGCTTTCTAGGTTTTTCTGACCCATCTAAACCAAGCCAGTAGAATGATTGTGGCAGCAGTAGGCCGTGAGGACTATCGTGGTCACCCCCCGGCCCCCCTCATCCCTTCACTGGAAACAGAAGTGGGCTCTTTCTTAATCTCCTTTCTCCTGCTTTTCCTCCTGTCCTTGGAAGGAAGCTGCTAAGTGCAAAGCGAAAGTGGCTCTTCTGTCAGGGGAGAGGACGGGTTCAAAGTACAATAGTCGTGTCAAGTGCACCTCTTTGGTCACTTTTGAGGTTCTCATACACACTGTGAAGCTAACCAGGTTGTACAGGGCAGGTAACAGGGCCCAGGAAGAGAACTGTAAACCACAGCCTTGCTAATAAAAGAGCTGGCTCTCAAGAGTGGAATGATAAGAGGATGTCTGCTGACAAAATGAACACATAGACACTTGTGGTACCTGGTGTTTTATGGAGTCTATACCAATAACGGATTTCTAATCTCAGCAATTTTAGACAGAATGTATCTTGTGTGTCTCTCTGATGTATGGTGTGTGTCTCTCTGATGCCTTAAACTGCTTTTCTATGCTTATTTCCTTAAAAAAAAAATTCTCTAGGGCTTTTAACTGAAGCTGTGGAATTTGAGGAATGTTTCTCTGCAGAATAGAAAAATGCTTTCTCTTTTAGAACCACTGTTGGTGTGGTGCCCCATCCTCATGGATTGAAAGCACACCATAGTGCTTGGCCGGAAAAGTGTTGGGAGTGTCACCGAGAGGTTGTCACTGTTTATTGATCTTGATGACATAGTTACAGTTAAGCAGTGTTTGTGGTCAAGGGTACTAGATAGGAATAAGAATGTTATTTTAATCTATCTGCAAATATTTACTGTTCTAGATGCTCTGGGAGATGCAAAGGAGACTGAAATAGTGGTCAAGAGTGTGGATTTTGTAGCCAGAGTGGGTGTGAATCCTGGTTCCTCCATTTACTAGTAACTTGGGCAAATTACTCAAATTTTTCATGCTTCAGTCTCCCTTTCTGTAAATTGGAGATATTAACTATTTCGTAAGGTTCTGAGGACTAAACCCATTAATGTAGGTCAAAGAGCTTAGAGCTGTTCTTGGCATATAGTGGGTCCTCTGTCAATGATTGGTGGTGGGTTGGACTTAGGGTAGATTGTGCACACGTGTAAAAGTGATAAAAGTGCAAAGTTAGCATATGCATGGTTGAAGAACAGAGACAGCACTGGTATAAGATTTCACTCGTTCAGTCATTCAACACTCACTAACTGAGCACCTGCTTTGGATAAGACCCTGTGTTATGGAGTGATTAAAAAAAGGGAGATTGTAGAAGATACGAAGAGCTCAGGCATAGGGTCTAACCCTGCTTCACTACTTAAAAAGCTGTTTGTGAGCAAGTCACTTAAGCCTCCTCTGTACCCCTCTCCCTCTTGCTACCTGAGATCCGACAGATCTGAACTTTAGCACTTACCAGCTCTATGAGTTTAAAGCAAACTGCTTGTCTTCTAAGCCTCATTTTTCTCATCTCAGAATGGAGCAGATAATAAATAGTATTTCCTCATAACGTTGTGATTAAATGTGATAATGCATATGCAGTGCTTGGCTCATAGTGAGATCTCCCTAAGTGAGAGCTGTTGTTATTATCACTACTGCTAGGCTGGTGCAAAAGTAGTTGCAGTTTCTGCAATTGTTTTATTTTTTTATTTTATTTTTTATTGGGGGAATTGGGGGAGGGGAACAGTGTTGGGGAATCGGGGAAAGGGAACAGACAAGTTGCTGTCCTTTTGTTCTTCAGTCTAATTGTGGAGGACGTCGCTTCACTGGCCCATGTTGGTATTATCATTGCGCTCTTCCTGGCTGAGGCAGTCACTCGCCGGCTATTGGACGGCGGCTCACGGCAGCTCACAAAAGCTCACGCCAGCTGCCGGCCAGCTCCACTGCAGCCTACACCGTCGCTGGCGATTCACGGCAGCCCAGCTACAGATTGAGCTGTTGTTTACCGTCTTAGCTGTAGAGGGTGCAGTGTCACTGGCCCTCATGTGGGATCCGAACCAGGGTCCTGTTGTTCAGAGCTGGCGTCCCAAGCCCGCTCTTAACCAACACGCCACTCGGTCAGCCCTTGCAATTGTTTTTAACCTTTTAAACCTCAGTTACGTTTGAACCAACCTAATACTGTTCCACCTTCATCTCTATAGCCCTTGCCCTTGGAGAGTTAGCTGTTAAACTTTTGGGAAGACAGAAATTATGCAGTAATCCAAAGCAGTATGTGCTAAAGTGTTATACTGGTGATATGGGCACAATGCAGCTGTGTGCAAAGGAGGGGGAAACGATTCCTCCTGTCGGCAGGACTCTCGGAACGCTGTTATGGAGGTAGCTTTCCAGTGGGTCTGAGCAGGAATTTGATAGGGGTGTGGATAGGTCACCACAGTCCAAGCAGAATGAAGCATGAGTGGAGGCAGAAGGCTGCAAGCTTGCAGGGCACGTTTGGGCCAGAAGGTAGCGGCTGCAATGCCATGTCAAGGAGTCTGAACTTTGGGCTGTGGGCACATCTGTATATCTGTAACCCAAAACTTAGATTTCTCTCTGTTTTCTTTTCATAAGCTCTGAACCTCCACTTGGCTCTTTAAATAACCTAGAGCTAATGGGAGAGGATTCAGGAGTCATTAGTGATTATCGAGAAAAGACCAATCTCTATATTCACCCCCGTCCTACTGACTAGATTTCTTGCTAATCTGAGATGAGGAATTTTTGGATGAGAGAGACATCAATGACTAAACCTGCAAATTATTCACCTGGAAATAAATGAGCAACAGTATCATTTATAAAGGACTCAGCTATGCTGGTGCTTTAGGGCCTGGCCCCCTGGAGGCACCTTTCCCAGCGGGGCCAGTGGTGGGTGGGGAGGTAGCTGGCCTTCCTTCCTGAACCCAGGCTGCTGCTGTTTTGCCAAAGTTGTTTTTGTTTCGGCTGCCATTTCTTCTCATTGGTTCCTGTGTTTCCTCTCCTTCCTGGAGCACCTCCTTCCCTCTCTGTGCCTCAGCTTCTTTAATTTTTCATAGTGTGGATCGCCTACAATTCCTTCCACTTCTCCAAGCCGGACCGCAGCCAAGGAAACCTAGGGCTGTGTGCCTTTGTGACACATACGGGTGCTGAAAAATAGGGTAAATGATTCATATTGCAAATGTTGCTCTTCAAGAGAAGAAGAAACGATACACTTTCCTCCCTTTAAGTCAGTTTCACCTGATAAGGAACATGTTTCATGACTTATTTTATGTTTTGTCCTTTGATCATTTTCTCAAATGTGGAAATGGGGTTGTTCCCGGGCTCTCTGGGGTTATTCACTCCTCCTTTTGGTTAATCTTAAGGTGTGTGGTCTCCCATGTGGACAGATGTCCCACAAAAGTCTGAATAATAAGTTGACTGCATTTGCTTAGAATCTGCCAAATTGCTAGATTTGAATACTTCTTTAGAAGCCAATAACGGAGAAGTCTTGAACAGTCATTTAAAGGGAAGAATACTCAAGTTTTTTTGCATTAGTTTGTCTTTGAAGGAAAAGGCTGGCTTGCTGTTCTTCTGGGTCCTCTTACCAGTGAATGGTTGCTAGGTGCTTGTTGTCCGTACTCCCTGTTCTTCAAAATATGTACCTCAGACAGATTTCAGTGGCTCAGAAATTGCCTTATGTGGTGCAAGCAGTTTTGTAAAATGATGGCCGTCCCGGTTCTTTGAGGATGGGGACCCTGCCTCCTTTTTTTATATTCCCAGTGGCCAGCAGAGTGCTTGGAACAGGGTAGGGCCTGGTGTATATATGTGAATGAATGACTTCCATAGCTGGGAGAGAGATCTATTGTAGCTGCACCCTCTCGACCGTTCCTGCAAACTGCTTTGGAGACATCTTGTCCTTTTGGGTTTGATTCATCGTACCAGCTGGGTCTGAAAAGGACCTTCAGTGGCAGTCCTGTTCATTATTTGCTTTCTGGCCGGTTATTACCCTGCAAGTGGAGTTGCAGAAGTGAACATGCGGAGCTGGTCTGTCCAGAGAGAGAGTATAATTCCTTTTGCTGACCAACTTTATTTAACTCTCCTGGGCCCTCAGATGTTGTCTGCAATACGTCCATTTCTGGAGGGTGGGTGCGTAGAGGGAGCTTCTCAAACATTGCAGATTTCTGTGTTTCAGTCCCAGAGTCGTCTGGGCAGGGGCCCAGGAGCCTGCACTTCATCCCAGGTGGTTCAGATGTTAATGGTCCTCTGGTGAACATTACACTAGACTAGGGGCTGCAAACTGGCC